CAAAGACTGGTTCATCCCAAAGATCCAGTCCCCCGGCACAAACAGAGTAATGTTGTGTATGCTGTTCAGTGTCAGGAGGGCTGTGATCAGTCTTACATCGGGGAAACAAAACAGCCACTGGCCAAAAGGATGGCCCAGCACAGAAGATCAACATCATCAGGCCAGGACTCTGCGGTCTACACTCATCTCCAGGCCAGCGGTCACTCTTTCAGGGATGAAGATGTGCACATCCTGGATAGAGAGGAACGATGGTTTGAGAGAGGAGTAAAGGAGGCCATCTTTGTGAAAAGAAATCGTCCATCGTTAAACAGGGGTGGAGGCCTACGTGTTCAATTGTCCCCCTCTTACAATGCTGTGATTGCTAGTATCACTCAGCCCTCTGTGAATAGTACACAGCCATCAGTGTGCTAATGATCCATTGTTAGGCTGATGGTCCTTCTTGAGCATGTGATCAGCTGGTTTTGGTTGTCAACAGCAAAACTGGTTGATCCACTCTGAGAAGGTGCTATTTAAGAGACTGAGCTGAATACAGCACCTCAGACTGAGGAAGTCTCTCGGATGAGAGACGAAACATTTCTACATTTTTTTGTTGTTTTGCCTTGTTTTGATTTTTTTTGAATGTCCAGAGGACTGCTGGTGTATGACAGACAACAACTTTTGGATCTTCGTTTTTCTGTCATTGAAGTCTGTTATTGAAAACCTGCGGCCATTAGCGCACGCTAACTCCATCGCTGCTAGCTCCACTTCCGACAATATCCGGATATGTTTGGTCAACGCAAGATCTGTTACAAACAAAACTTTTATCCTCAGGGATTACTTTCAACAGCACGATCTGGACTTTCTGTGCATCACAGAGACTTGGATGTCTCAGGGTGAGTCTAGCGCCTTGACGGAATTATTGCCACCGAACTGTTTGTATTTTAACGTACCGCGGCCATCAGGCCGGCGTGGTGGTGGATTATTAACAATATTCAAATCAACTTTTGACTTTAAACAACTGCCCATCCCAGTTTCCCGCGCCAGCTTTGAGCTGAGCGTCTTTGAACTCGGACATTCACCTCCAACGTTATTTGCATTCATCTACCGCCCACCTCGGTCTAAGGATTTCATAAATGAGTTTTCTGACTTCTTGGCTGAAATTACACCAAAATATGAGCATGTTTTCATTATTGGGGACTTTAATTTGCACATATGCTGTCCTGAGAAGCCCTTGGTTAAGGACTTTTTAGATTTATTGGACTCATTTAATTTAACTCAGCATGTAAACGGTCCCACCCAAGAGTGTGGACATACACTGGACCTAGTTTTAACTCATGATGTGACTGTTAATAGTCTTGTTATTGGCGATAATGTTTTTTCAGACCACATGCCAGTCCGGTTTGAGTTCACCCTCCCCCATCTAACTCCTAAGTCGTGCATTCCTGCACGTAGCACCCGGACCATTAACCGCTTCACTGCTGCACGTTTCACAAATGTTTATAACTCTGAAATGATAATTCAGGCCCCAGTGTTTCTCACCACCACTGAGGAGCTGACATCCCAGTTCAACTCTGTCTGCTTAAAGACTCTGGGTCATGTTGCGCCTGTTAAAACTAGAAAATCAAAACTCAGAGCAGAACCTTGGCTGAGTGACGTCACCAAGGCCGTTAGGCAGCAATGTAGGAGGGCCGAGCGAAAGTGGAGGAAAGACAGGCTGCAGGTCTCTTTTCAAATACTTATAAAGAGAGTTGGCGCCGTTATCAGAAAGCAGTAAAAGCTGCAAAATCCAAATACTTCTCTGAAATAATTACCTCAAACTCTCACAACCCACATGTCCTCTTCTCCACCCTAAACTCTGTTCTCCACCTCACTGAACCATCACCTCTGGAAGCCTCGACTGAGCTGTGCGACAACTTCTTACATTTCTTTTTGGAAAAAATTGCGACCACCCGGGCTCTCATTTCCCCTCCAACTCATGACCTATCCATCCCACCTCAATCTGTAGCTCTATTTGACCATTTTGAACCCATCACTCTATCTTCTCTAGAGCAGGTAATGTGCAGCTTGAAACCTTCTGGCTCCCCCTTTGATGTGGTCCCCCCTCGACTACTAAAGGAGGTGTTTCCAACTCTAGGTCCATCCATTCTTGATATAGTAAACAGTAGTTTATCCACTGGCGTGGTGCCAAAATCCTTTAAACATGCTGCCATCCAGCCTCTCGTGAAAAAACCAAACCTTGACCCCTAAGTCGTTTCCAACTTCCGGCCTGTCTCCAAATTCCCATTTGTTTCTAAAGTACTGGAGAAAATAGTCGAGTCCAAGTTGAAGTGCTTCCTGGAGGATCACGCCATCTTAGAGCTTTTCCAATCTGGCTTTAAACCTCTCCACAGCACTGAAACTGCCCTGCTGAAGGTCTTTAACGACATCTTTAGATTCACAGATACCGGTGATTCTGTGCTGCTTGTCCTGTTGGACCTCACAGCCGCCTTTGACACCATCGACCATGAGATCCACATTGCTAGGTTGGAGCAGAGGGTGGGCGTCACAGGATCAGCTCTCAATTGGTTCAGATCTTACCTTGCTGACAGATCCTTTTGTGTCTCCATCAAGGATTTTAGTTCTGCAGAGGCAGAGCTTAAATGGGGGGTTCCGCAGGGGTCCATACTGGGTCCCCTCCTATTCTCTTTATACCTGCTGCCGCTTGGTGCTATTTTCCGGAAACACAACATGCCCTTCCACTTCTATGCCAATGACTGTCAAATTTACTTCCCCCTAAGACACAATGGTACATGCTCTATTCAACCGCTGCTCAACTGCCTGGCTGACATCAGGGACTGGATGGCTTTAAATTTCTTGAGTTTCAATGAAAAGAAGTCTGAAGTCATGTTGTTCCCTCCCAACGACACAATCACAAACCACTGTATCGACCTCTCCGCTCTAACCCTGTCAGAAAAACAAAGAGTCACTAATCTGGGTGTGATAATGGACCCTTCCCTGAAACTTAACAATCATGTAAACATGATTGTTAAATCATGTTTCTTCCAACTGAGGCGGCTGTCTAAACTGAAGCCCATATTGTCCAACAAAAACCTGGAGACAGTAATACATGCATTCATTACATCTAGGCTTGATTACTGCAACTTGCTCCTGTTTGGTATCAGTCAGACCTCCATTGAACGACTACAACTGGTCCAGAATGCAGCAGCCCGATTTTTAACCAGTACAGGCAAAAGAGAGCACATTACACCAGTTTTGGCCTCACTGCACTGGTTA